TACTGTGATGCATGAAAAGCATTACCTCTTGTAGAAAAGGATGTCATAGTTCATCTGACCCATCCAAGAATAGTTATATAACATAAATTAGTTAATGCAAATTACTGTGATTGTGGGCAATTTGTTGTGTAAGGAATGTAGTACAAGTAACAGTTTAACTTCAGAGTTCATGTACCTTTGTCCCCAAATGGAGAACATTTGATTAATGTATTTTTCCCTCAGATCACTATTCTTATTCAGATTTTTAAAATTATACATTTGGCCTTAGCTGTTTCAAAAACTGGAATAAATAAACATTTTATTTTTAAAAGAAATTTAAAAATATTTCTTCCTGGTTTATATAAGTTTTTGATATGACCAGTTTAATTATTTTTAAAAAAGCGTTTTGTTTTACCTTTAACACATTTCCCCAAAATTTTAAATGTTAATGAATGCATAATCAATCCATAGTATAGCTCTTAGATCTTTCCCTCTATAGACCTTTATGCTTTATATATTGCTGCTTTGTCATTTTTTATTTGCGGTTGCATCCCATGACTCTAAATGTTTTTAGATGATGAAGAGATGAGCTATGATAAAAAGAGTATTAGACCAGGAGGCTAAAAGATCTGGGGACTTAGGGCTTTAAGCTTCTTAGAAAGTCAAAGCAGGGATCTCTTAGTGTTTTCTTTCTTCTAGTGTGAAATTAGAAGAATAATAACAACTAGCTTCATGCTTGGTAGTAAACCAGTAACATGGTACTTCGTAATGAAAGCTTTAAGATCAGAATTCTAAGGATCAAGTCCAGGTTGTATACAATTGGTCAGATTCCTTAATCTCCCTGAGTCTTGATTTCCTCATCTTTAAAATGGAGATGATAATATCACCATGTTGTGCTATTGTGAGGATTGAGGTAGGCACTTTTTACCATGGTTAACTCCTGGGGAGACAATTTTCCAAGTGTCTGGTATTTCTGAATGTCTTGTGAGCAGAAAGAAGCACTGACTGCCTTTTATCCTGAACTGTCTTTTCAAGGATGTTTGTGTAGAAAATAGCTTTGGAAGATGGAGATATGTTTTCCACTGGAGCAAAGAGTAGGCATGCTTACTATCCAATATACTATCTCCATTCAGAGGTGTGAGTAATAAACTATCTTCCATCTCTGACCATGAGTCTTGTATCTTCTACCAGCATCCATAAAACAGTGGTAAGCTAACTTGCCCAGGACTGCATGGTTTCCTGGGACATGGCTCTCTCAGTACTAAAAGTGAGAAAGTCCTGGGCAAACCAGGATGAGTTGGTCACTCGAGAGTAAGGTAAAATCTAAGACTCTTTATAGTTCTTGATGAATGTAGTATTTGCCACATAGGAAACAATCAATAACTGTTAACTTTTGTTATTATTATATAAAGAAAACATCTGGCATAACAAGTCACAGTGTTTTGAAAGTATTAAGCATTCTATAAATATTATTATATGACAGAATGAATTCAATTTTTGCAGATTTACAAATTAAGGTCAAATAATGAAATACCTATGATTAGCAAAGAATTATATATATAAAACCAAACCAAACCAAACCAAACCAAACCAAACTCAGTGCCATCAAGTCAATTCTGACTCATAGCGACCCCTCCGGGTTTCTGAGGTGATACCACTACGGAAGTGGATTGCCCAATCTTTCTTCCAAGGAGTGGCTGGTGGGTTTGAACCGCCAGCCTTCTGGTTAGCAGTCAAATACTTTAGGCACTCTGCCACCAGAGCTCCTTGAATTACATAGAACATTTATAAAAATTTATAGATGTAAAATACAAAGTCTTTTATTTGGATAGAAAGATTATAATTAATTTTTCTAGTATAATTATGTTTCTGACTTCCTACTGTATAAAGGGGAGCTCTGGTAGTGTTGTGCCTATGACTGCTAACCAGAAGGCTGGTGGTTCAAACCCATCAGCCACTCCTTGGAAGATGGGGCAATCTACTTCCATAATGGTACTGCCTCGGAAACCCAAGGAGGGGTCGCTATGAGTCGGGTCCGACTTGACAACAACAACAACAACTATATAAAGATGGTTATGTACATATTCTTTTCTGAATCTTTTGACTGCTTTTTATCAAACATAAAATATTCCTTTTTATTCTCTTCAGCACTGAGTAGTATTCACTTACACCAATTGTTTATTCTTTTTCCTGTTGATAGACACATGGGCTGTTTCTAGTGGTTGAATGTACAGGATATGTTTTGTTCCATGCAAAATTTGCTGCTTACTCAGAGATAGAAACTTTCACTATATTATGAAGTAGTTTTAAGTACCATATTTAACAAAAGATGGTTAAAATGTATAGATATTTTACCATGAGCAAAGAAGGCATAGTTCTAGGTAATGTACATGAAGTATATATAACCTTATAAAATAACCACTTACTTTATCTATTCTGGCGCTCTGGTGGTATAGTGGTTAAGACATTTGGCTTTTAACCAAAAGATTGGTGGTTTGAACCCACTGGCTACTCTGTGGAAGGAAGATGCGGCAGTCACCTTCTGTAAAGTGACTTATTGGGCCTTAGAAACCCAATAGGAGTAGCTGTGAGTTGGATTTGACTCGATGGCAGTGAGTTTTGTTTTGTTTTTTTATATTAATTCTATAGATGAAGCTGAGAGAGACTGTTAGTTACCTGCCCATTGTGGTGAAGCTTGGTAGAACTGAGATTTCAACCCAGACATTAGGTTCTAGAGCCCACACTTAGTCACTGTAATATAAAAACATAAGCTAGTAAATCTGCTTGTGATAAAATTAGGAAAAGTAGAAACACTTAAGAGAATAGAATTCAAATTAATATTAATTAGAGAACTAGTCATAGATGCACAGAACTAGATGTAAGAGGAAAAAGTTCAAGGTAATTCACCCATGGAAGAAAAGCAAATTCCTAAAATAGAAGATAAAAACAGTACACTTTTTACCAATACTGCCAGAAAAATATGAGCCAGTCAAGAAGTGCTATTATAATAAAAATAGGAATAAATAAAAATTTAGAATTTAGGAATGAACAGTTGAGACTTCGAACCAAATTTAGAAGTTTTAGAATTGCAGTCCTGTCTTTTTTTGGAGAGGGTTTCTCATGAATCCATTTATAATTCATTCCATTAATAAATCCCACACCCATAAATTTCTTTGAGATAAATCCTTTCCTATTTGGGTTTCATATGAGGTGTCTTTGGGGCATCTTTTTGAGATCTTAGTGAAGAATGTAATAGTCCCACTATAGATGCCCTTTCGTAATTTGAGAGTTTTACAGAGACTGGGAATGAGAAACTATGAGTTTTATTATTGAACCCAGAAATGTTTGCCTCCTTTGAGCTCTGGTGGCGTAGTGCCTACGGTATTTGACTGCTAACCAGGAGGCTGACAGTTCAAACCCACCAGCCACTCCTCGGAAGTTGTGTAATCTACTTCTGTAGTGATACTGCCTCAGTAACCTAAGGAGGGGTTGCTATGAGTCGGATCTGACTCGCCAGCAGTGAGTTTGGTTTTGGTTTTTATATTTGACACTACTTCCTTTAGCTGTTGTCTTTCCTTTATATTTTATGATTAGCAATTGAGGAAAGTGGGCAGTGGTGGTTCAGTGGTAGGGCTCTCATCTCCAGTGTGGGAATTTCAGATAAAATTCCTGGCCAGCACACCTCATGCACAGCGCCAGCCACTTGTCAGTGGAGGTTTACATGTTGCTACAATGCTCAATAGTTATCAGTGGAGCTTCCAGCTCAGGCAGAGTAGGAACAAAGGCCTAGAGATCTACATCTGGAAGTCAGCTAATGAAAATCCTATCATCACAATGGCCCAATCTGCATCCCATCATGGGGATGGTGCAGGATCATGCAGCATTTCATTCTATTGTTCCTGGAGTCACCATGAGTCAAGGGCTGACTTAACAGCAGCTAACAACAACAACATAAGTAGCTAGAGATACAGGGAAGCAGTTCCAACACTGTGTGGAAATATCCTTAGCTAGATCATTCATTTCATTGAGGCTTTTTTCTATTCCATGTTATTACAGGTGACAATTTGGATAAACTTTTTGCTATTTTATAACAGTGATTCTCTTTCCTCTAGTTTCCAGTAGCATTTTCCTTTAAGCTCTCACTGATAGCTTCCTTGAGGCCTAAAAGACTACTACTAACAATCTTGAAAGCTGAGGCAGATCCAAAAGCGCTTCAAGTCTTCTTCACGTTTAGTAAACAAGGTTGTGTCATCTGTATATCACAGATTGTTAATGAGTCTTCTAATCTTGATGCATTCTTCTTCATATGGTCCATCTTCCTGGATTATTTGCACAGTGTACAGATTGAATAAATATGGTGAAAAGATACAACCCTGATGCATACCTTTCCTGATTTTAAACCATGCAGTATCCCCTTGTACTGGTCAAATGACTGCCTCTTGGTCTATGTACAGGTTCCTCATGAGCACAATTAAGTGTTCTGGAATTCCCATTCTTTGGGATGTCATCCATAATTTGTTACGATCCACCCAATAAAATGCTTTTGCATAGTCAATAAAAACAGGTAAACATAGCCTTGTCTAAAGTAAATGCTTAATAAATGTTACTTGTTATCATTAATGATCTAAACAAGCAGATAGGATACATTTGTTCAGATTGCTGAGTTGCAGGGTAAAACTGACATAGAAGTGACTCCATCTCATCTCTCCAAACAACCAAAAGGCAAACCTCATAGTGACCATATAAGACAGAGTAGAACTACCCCATAGGGTTTCCAAAGTGGTACCTCTTTACGTAAGCAGACTGCCTCATCTTTCTCCTGAAGAGCGTCTGGTAGATTTGAAGAACTGACATTTTGGTTAGCCACCCAATACTTTAACTACATCACCAGAGCTCCTTCATCTCTGAAAGCACTTCTTATTTTAGGGAGACAGTATAGACCCCTGTCCCTGAGAGACTGTGATGTAAACTGACATCCTTAGAATAACTTCTATCAACTTTTTTTTCTCCCTCTGTTTTAGGCTTACAGGATAACCCTTGGTTCTGTGACTGCCACATTTCCAAAATAATTGAGTTGTCAAAAGTTACTGACCCTACTATAGTGCTTCTTGATCCACTGATGGTTTGTAGTGAACCTGAGAGCTTCACAGGGATTTTGTTCCAACGGGCTGAGTTGGAGCAGTGTCTGAAGCCATCTGTGATGACCTCAGCCACCAAAATCACATCTGCTCTGGGTAGCAATGTCCTACTGAGGTGTGATGCCACTGGCTACCCCACCCCACAGCTCACATGGACCAGATCCGACAACTTGCCAGTTAATTATGCAGGTATTTCCTTCATTCATTTTGTTGCTATGTAACAAGAAGCTTACAAAAGTCTCAACCTAATCTCATACTTTTGTGTCATTTGAATTCTAATAAAATAGGCCAATATCGTTGGACACAGAATTTTGAAAGATACATTTTATTGGTTAATATCCCTTCATAACTACATAGTTAAAATTAGGCAATTAGATTCTTTTCTTAGACAGAAAGCAACACAATCCCAGGATAAGTGATTACAGACAAGGATTTTGTCTTGCTCCATCATCTTGAATATGTCTGACTTCAAAATATATAACCATTACAATTTTTTTAAATGCCATTTTTCTACAAATTTCTCACTTTTGGATAATAGTTTAAATAATGAATTATATGAAAACCCTCTTATTGTGAAACAAAAAAGTGTAATTTTTAGAAATATTGATTACATACACTTTTCAGATCATTCTATGACCAAGTCAAAGATTTCTATTTGAGTGGTCATGATTTCTATTTGGGTGACCTTAAGAGTGATAGATTCTAAGACTACAGTGATATACATTTAAAACTCTTTAACAGAATTAAAATATAGGTTGAAATAATGAAACCTGTTGGAATAAAAAAAAGTAAAGCCTAATATTCTTAAAAAAAACAAATGGCTCACAGTTTAAGGTAACAAGTTAAGTTTTGGTTTGTTGGGATACAATTCAGTGCGTTATAATTCTTTAAAAAGCTCTAGAAATCAAGACAAATTGGAAATATGCTTAGATTTTAGAGTTTATGAAAGTAAAATTACAATTTTAATAAAAATTATATACTATTCATGCAAACAAGAAAATCCATTGCTTACTAATTTATTTAAATGTAAAATGAGAGATTCAGGATACAAATTATGACTGCCCCATGACAGAAAATGGGTCCACTGTGTCTTCTGACTCTATAGATTAGTGACAATTTATTACTATTCATTATTTATTGTTATTATTTATTATAATGAAAAGTACTTTGAGAAATGTTTAGGTCAACCATTGTGATGAGCATTTTATAAACTCACAGTGAGTTAAAATTGTAAGTGTCCTTTGAGATCACTTTGTCTAATCTTTTTATTTTATAAATGAGAAAATAGAGTCTCAAAGAAGCTATTTGACTTGTTTAAAAACACATACCACTTAATGGACAACCATTTACTAAAACCCAAGAGTCCTGATTCCTGTCTCCATATCTTTCTTAAATTCCATTCTTTATACAGGTCTCATGGCACTTGGCATGTCCTACATCTTCATGTGAACAACTTATAGACCCATCCCCATCCACAGACCTGCAGTGTGCTGTTTCCCTCTTGGCTTAATGTGAGAGAGGTGTATGTGGAACAAGATCGTTGCTTGCTTCTCAACTGGCTTGTTTGCTCAAGTTTTTCCTTGTTTTCCTCACATAATACACATTTGTTTTCTTCCAGTAATTCAGGAATCTCCAGAAGAAGGAGTCAGGTGGTCCATAATAAGCTTGACAGGCATTTCTTACAAGGATGCTGGGGATTACAAATGCAGAGCCAAAAATTTGGCTGGGACGTCAGAAGCTGTGGTAACTGTGACAGTGGTTGGTGTGGTCACAACCACAATATCATCAGAAACATCTGAAAGAACTGGAGAAGGTCATGCTGAGCAAGAGGTCAAGTCAGGATCTGGAAAGTCTACATCCACACCTAGTTCATCATCATCTCCCTGGCTTTCTTCCTCCTTTTCTTCCTCCCTTGTTTCTCCTACTTCTCTTTCTACTTCAACTTTGTCTCCTCTCTCCTCTGCTTCCTTCTCCTTATCTCCTTCCATCTCTTCCATTGGTTCTTGGACCACAACTCCAAGCACTAAAACTTCAGCAAGCACCACCCTGGCCAACAGGTGGTCACTCCAGCTCCATCCAAACAGGAAAGGGAATTTAAAGGTGAAGATGGGTAGAAATAAGCTTCCTCCAGATAGTGCAAGCAAGAAAGAAGAGTTGACATTATTGGATCAAGCAACACCTATGGAGACAAATGCCACAATAGAAAACCTCAGGGTAGTCAGTGAGACTGAAGAGAGTGTGACTTTGATGTGGAATACCATCAACACCACACATAACTCTGCAATGACTGTTCTATATTCCAAGTATGGTGAGGAAGACCTGCTCCTGCTAAATGCAGACTCCAGCAAGAACCGAGTCACCATAGAAGGTTTGGAACCTGGCAGGCAGTATGTGGCATGTGTGTGTCCAAAAGGGATGTCTCCCCAGAAAGACCAGTGTATCACCTTCTCTACAGACAGAGTTGAAAAAGAAAGTGATTCTGAAGGGTCTTTCCTTATTATAGTGAGCAGTGTTGCCTGTGCTGTTGTCTTGCCATTGATTTGTTTCCTGTTGTACAAAGTTTTCAAACTTCAGTGTAAGTCAGAATTTTTCTGGGAAGATGACCTGGCCAAAGAGACTTACATCCAATTTGAGACCCTGTCTCCTAGGTCTCAAAGTTTAGGGGAACTCTGGACACGACGGCACAAAGATGACTCAGAAAGACTGCTGCTTTGTTCAAGGTCAAGTGTGGAATCTCAGATGACTTTTAAAAGTGGGGCTCCTAGATCAGAGTATTATTGCTAAGGCTTTGCAGCTCAGGTGAGTGTAAACCACAAATTAAGAGTTTAAAGTATATCAGGTCTTCTGTTTGGACGAAGACTGAAGCTATAAAATGGAAATACAGATGTTCACATCCCTCTGTGAAAATTACAGATAGAATGCTATTAAGTGAATTATTTTCCAAATTCTATCATGAGACTTTTGAACTGAAAAGAAAACCTTGAATTTTGTTGTATGGAAGATATCCATAGAAATATTTTTTAAGGTAGTGCTTAATAAATTAATAATGCATTTTAAGGTAATGTTTTAGTTTCCAAGAATAAATCCAAGTGTAAATAGTTGTAAAAAGTGAAGCCTGCATTTTTAAAAAAGGTAATTTTTTAAGCAGTAAAGAAAGATTAGTATAACCAGATAAGCCTTCATGCTCATTCATGTTCAAGGTACTTTATGCCATTTGCTCTGAATATTTTCTGGCATTAACAAGGGACAAGAGTTGGATTATAAAGTGTTTTGCTTTCACTAAGGTTAAATCCAACCCAATGGAGAAGGAGGGCTCTGTCTCTTGGTGCCATTATACATTGTAGTACGTATTGTATTTGTACAATATGAGTTGTATTCATATTGCATGTTAAAAAAAAAAAAGAAATTCCATTGTCTTCATTGGAAGCATTGTTGTTATTGTTATGTGCCATGGAGTTGGACTCGACTCATATTGAGCCCTCCTAGGGCTTCTGAGGCAGTATCACTATGGAAGTAGATTGCCCCATCTTCCTTCCCAGGAGTGGTTGGTGGGTTTGAACTGCCAGCCTTCTGGTTAGCAGTCAAGTGCCTTAGGCACTATGCTACCAGAGCTCTTCATTAGAAGCATGTTGTTGTTATGTGCCGTGGAGTCGGACCTGACTCATAGCGACCCCTCCTTGGGTTTCCAAGGCGGTATCACTGCAGAAGTAGATTGCCCCATCTTCTACTGGTGGGTTTGAACCGCCAGCCCTCTGGTTAGCAATCCAGTGCCTTAGGCACTACGCTACCAGAGCTCCCATTATAAGCATAGGCATTAGCAAAAACAGTTGAAAGAGATCATGACAAATAGTAAGGCCATTTTTAAAAATTGTAACTGCTGTAATCTAACACATCTGGTTAGTCTTTTTAGGCATATTGTGTGGGTCTTTTTTTATAGTATGTTTATGTAGACAGTCTCTTTAATATTTTGATATTTGTTCTTCGTTCCTCCCTCTCCTCTGACTTCTTCCTTCTCTCCTGTGTCTCTCCCTCCTCGCCATCCCTCCTCCTCTTCCTTCCTCCTTTCTTCCTTTTCTTCTGCTTCGTCAGAAGATACTCTGGAAGCACGACATCACAAGCTAAGCTATTCGTCTTTGCCACATTTATATTTTGATCTTCTGGATAAAGGGAAGGCCTTTGAAAGTCTTTTAAGATCCAAATGATACTTTAGAATTTTGAAAGAGTAGCCTCAATGGATTCATTTGGTCTAACTCTTTTTTCCAGGTTAAAGGCATCAGGGAAATTGAACTGCAGTGGGTCACATGAAGATAGGAAAGGAACTTCGTACTTAAATTTTAGATTTTTGATAAAAATTTTTCATAACTTCCACTAAAGATTATATTCTGTTTATGTTGACAATTTTATAGAATAGATTTCTAAAGCTGTGCCAGAAATCTAGAAATATTCTGAGAAACAAGTTCTAAGAAAATATGTTTTGTTAGAAACAGATTGACTTTAATGTAACACATTCTGAAAATTATAATACAGGCAGCTTGAGGATGAAAAATTGTTCATTCCGAATGGCTCTTAACTAAAAAGAAAAATGATTGCTAGGCCAGCCATACTCTGAGTATTAGAAGAGCAGCATGGGTGAACGGCCGGGTCAGAACTCCCCAGGGTTTCCTTTCCAGCCTATTTTTTCTTGCTGCTTTCATCACTGAGTGCATTTTCTAATGGTTTGTTTTTAATTCAGTAGTCACTGTAATAGGAATTCTGGTGGTTCGGTGCCTAAGGCATTTGATTGCTAACCAGAAGGTTGGCAGTTCAAATCCACCAGCCACTCCTGGGAAGAAAGATTGGGCAATCTACTTCCATAGAGATACTGCCTCGGAAACCCAAGAAGGTGTTGCTATGAGTCGGATCCGACTCAATGGCAGTGTATTGCATTTTATGCATTGTTATAATTTTGTTTTTTAGAAAACCTTTTGCAGTTTTGTTTTTAGTTTCAACTTATATTAGATCAACTTATTTCAAATCAAAAGATTACAAAAACTTATATTCCTTTATTCTGCTACAGAAATCATGCAACTTTAATGCCATGTACTTAACATATGAATAGACTGTCAAAATACTACCATATTAGAAATCATTTGATGGCAGGAGAATGTTACAGACCACCAAGCCAAATGGTGGGTATGAGGGGCACCCAAATTGCACAAAGGCAGATTATTTTTCAAAAAAGGCAATTTGGACCATTCTGGTAAGATTGATACTGACTGTCTTCATAATTAAAATCAAGTGAAGCTTGACTTAAATTTGACTGAGGAGAAGCTAGTTGGTGGTGTGGATGCGATAGGAACCTCAGGAAAGAGTATCCTTGTCTTCTATCAACTTGATCTTGACACATAAAATGTGTTGCAAGTAATTTGTTAATAACAGTGAAAATACATGGGGCACCGTGAATCTGAATTGAGTTGACTGGTTGGTTTTTCACTGGTTTATTGTAAACCTATCTGGCACCAAGCCAGGCACTAGAAATGTAGCAATTAATAAAGATGGATGGAGCTTTTTCTCATGTAGGTGACTAACTAATATAGAAGATAGTAAGACTGCAATGTGTTAATTGCTGAGAAAGAGAGAAGAACGTCTGAGAGCCTGTAATTGGGGGATTTGACCTGGTCAGGTCTGGGAAATTACTTTCCTGAGGAAGTGATGCTTATTTTAAAATCTAAATGATAAACAAGAATTACTCTGGAGCAAAGGGAAGGAAAGCCATTCACACAGATTTAACTAGGAATATATTATAAAGTTATAATCTCAATTCAGTTTAAAAAATGAAAGTGCTGAAACTGTAAATTATCTACTTTCTAAAAATACACACATTTGAGTGTGGTCATGGTTATTCCAAGGATATCATTGCTCCCATGTTCTTACCAGTATGCTTTCTTGAATGGGAGAGAGATCATCATTATAGCAAGCAGCATGACATTGCACTTAATCCACAGCCTGGTATTTATTGTGGTGAAAATATACACACCAAACATTTGCCAGTATAACAACATCTATATTTGCAATTCAATGACATTTATTAGATATTTTACAATGTGCCACCATTATCATGATCCTTTTCCAAAATATTCCACCACAGTTAACATAAAATGCCCCCAAACAAAAACTCCTTCTTTCCCCTTCCTCCCATGCCTGGTAACCATGACTAATGTTTGATTTCTTTGTGCTATTTCATATAAGTTAGATAATACAGTATTTGTCCTTTCAGGACTGACTTATTTTGCTCAGTATAATGTTTTTGAGATTCATCCATGTTGCAGCATGCATCCGAACTTCATTTCTCTTTACAGCTGCATACTATTTCTTGTATGTATATGCCGCCTTTTTTTAAAAATCCATTTATCTGTAGACAGACATTTCAGTTGTTTCCACCTTTTGGCTGTTGTGAAGATGCTGCAGTGAACATTTGTGTACAGGTTTCAAGAGCCAGTTTTGTCAATGCCACCGTAAGCTTTGTGGAGAGGAATCATAACTGCTGTACAGTAAATATATGTGGGAATTAAGAATGATTTCAATGTTATCCTTCCAGGCAAAATGTACTTTAGCTTGGTAAAAGTTGGGGTACGTCAGTGGAAGTACAGCACACATGTGACTATCATTAATGATGTGTTATGACATAAAATCGGTTGAGTTCTCTGAGCTAATGGTTTGTGATGACCAGAAAAGGGAACCCTGAGTACAGTCAGACAAGTGCCCTGGACTTTGGGAAACTATTACAAAAAGTTTAAAAGAAAAAAAAAAAAAGATTTGACTCCTGAACTTGAGTCTCAAAACAAATTATGGCTAACAACAACAAAAAAAAAAGTGAATAATCATAAAATAATTAATATAAAATTAGAAATGACTCAGGTAATGATTAAATGGTTGCCTAATCATCTGAAATTTCAACAGATATTTATAAAAGTTATAAAAGAATGGAGAGTAACCAAAGATGAACCTAGAAATGTAGCAAATCAATGAAAAAAGTATCATAAAGTAGGGCCCCAAATTTTAAAAAATGGTTAACAATTACCAGAAGGAATTGTAAGGCTATGTTTAGCCAAAAAGAACAAGGAAATCATAGGCCTACTGTTTGGAGAAGATAACAGAAACTATAGCAGAGAAGTGGCAGAATCATTCAACTCCTATTTTTTCTTCTCTTTTCCAGATAGGTTTTCAAACTGAATATGGAGAACAAACTGTGAAGAGAGGGAATTGTGGCCAAAGATAGATGAGGAATTAGTATGCCACCTCTGAGATGTTTAAAATGAGACCAGATGTACCAGAATGATAACAGAATTTTCAGCTGTAAACTCAGAGCTGTTGTTTGGTATTGTATTGTATTGTTCAGAGTTGTTGAAAAGCCACAGGGAACAGGAGGGGTGCTACCAGCAATGCCTTTGCTCTATTCTATTCAGCATTGGTATGAATCACTCAGTAAACATAAGACTTTCCAACTCTGCAGAGGGTATGAAGTAGGCAGAGTATTGGATAGCAGTGCTTCTCAAACTTTTCCATTAAATATACCTAATGAGAAGGCAAGGAGCTCTGGTAGCGTAGTGCCTAAGGGACTTGACTGCTAACCAGAAGGCTGTAGGTTCAAACCCACCAGCCAGTCCTCAGAAGGAAGTTTGAGCAATCTACTTCCATAGTGATACTGCTTGGAAACCCAAGGAGGTGTCACTGTGAGTCGGATCTGACTCGACAACACATAACAACAACAACGAGAAGGCGAAGTAAACTTGCATCTGGAGAAA